TTCGAAAGTGGATTTTTCGAACGTGTATTTGCAATTAAGGGTGAAAAAGAAGAGGCAGAGGTTGTTGACTATAACAACGTCGAAGGGCCTATTTGCTTTTAGAAGGTTGCCGTTTGGATTGAGTGTATCGGCACCTATATTTTAACGGACGATGGCAGCAGTTTTTCAGGGATTAGAGGGAGTTTTTTATTATATGGATGATGTATTAATAACAGGGGTTACGCCAGAGCAGCACAATAGAAGATTGGGGAAAGTATTTCAGAGGATCCGGGAAAAGGGATTACGGGCGAGTAGAGAGAAATGTGTCTTAAGAGTAATAGAGGTTGTATATTTGGGGCATTGGATTAATGGAGTAGAGGTTAGACCACTAGATAAAAATATGATTGGAATTGGAAGTATGGTAAGGCCGAAATTCAAGGCGGAGGTACAATTTTTTTGTGGGAATGGTAAATTATTACCATAGATTTGTCAAGGATTTTACAGAAATAACAGCGCCATTGTATAAATTACTGAAGACAGGAATAAGATTTGAGTGGGGAGAGGAGCAGGATGCTGCATTTGAAGGTCTGAAGAAGAGAATTGGAGAAGAGCCCATTTTGGTATGTTTCAACAATGAGTTGGAGGTGATTCTGGCGGTGGATGCATCCAGTAAAGGAGTAGGAGGGGCGTTATTACATGAGATTGATGGAATAGAGAGGCCCGTATTATTTTTCTCCAGAGTATTCCGGGAGGCGGAAACGAGATATTCTGTAATCGAACAGGAGGCTTTGGCAGTGATTTTCGGGCTGACCAAGTGCCGAGAGTATTTGATTGGACGGAGGTTTGTTGTTTATACGGATCACAAACCTTTGATACATTTGTTCAAGAAGGATAACAAAGAGTTGATGATGTCTCCGTGGTTGCAGAGGTGGCTGTTGTTGGTAGGAAGTTTTGATTTAACGTTAAAATATCGAAGAGGACGAGAAAACTACTTGCCAGACATTATGTCAAGATGTGGGGCCGGAGAGGAGATTGAAGACAAAAGTGGGACAATGGGGGAGAAGAAATTGGAAATGGCCATGGTAAGGGCGATGTAAAGAATTTTATGGGAGGAAATTTGGCCAGCAACAATGAAAGACCGGGATTTGTGTCGGGTAAAGGAGTGTCTAATGGGGCGTAGGCCATGGCGGGGAGGAGACAAAGGATACAGGAATGTTGAAAAAGAGTTAACCGTATTAGACGATTGCGTAGTACGGGGAAATAGAGCGGTAGTACCTAATAAGCTAAAAGGAGCTGTAATGGGCATGCTGTATGCGGGGCATCAAGGGGTAGAACGGATGAAGCAGTGGGGTCGTGAATATGTATGGTGGCCAGGAATGAATGAGAACAGTGTGTAGTGTGTAATTCCTGGGCGAGTATGCCGGCGAGGGATAAGAAAAGTACATGGCCAAAAGCGTCGGGGCCTTGGGAAAGAATTCACATAGATTTCTTTGAGTTTAATAGGAAAGAATATTTCCTGGTAGTAGATGCATACTCCAAGTGAGTAGAGTTTGAGGTTTTAGGTAGATTAACAACGAAAATTGTTGTAAAAAAATTGAAAATTTTATAAGCGAAATCCGGGGTGGCAAAAGTCATTGTGTCCGATGGAGGTCCGGCCTTTAGCAGAAGGGTTTGAAAAATTTTGCGTGGAAAGTGGGGTATGTGCTAGCGCCACCGTATCATCCGAGCTCAAATGGGCAGGCGGAGAGAATGGTGGGAGTAGTGAAAAGTTGGTTAAGGAAGGCCAAATTTGGAGAAGTTGAGATATGGATTTCGGTGGCATATTATGACAATAGCCGGAAGGGGGCTGAATTTTCGCCGTCGAAAAAGTTTTTAGGGCGACGAACATGGATTGGATTGGACGCATTGAGACCTCGGAAGGAAAAGGAAGGTGTGCAAACGGAACAGGAAAGTGGGAGAAAGTTTGAGGTAGGTCATACCGTGTGGGCCAGGTTATATGGAAGTGAAAAAAATGGGAATCAGGAGCGGTGGTCGGAAAAATGAGTAGAATGTTGTACTGTATAAAGTTCTCATAAGGAAAAGTTGTGGTCAGACATGCTAACCAGTTAAGAAGGGGAATGGGAACAGGGCAGTAGCGGTCAGAGGTCTTTTTATGTTAAGTAGGTAGAATTATGAGGCTAAAAAAAAAGAATTTTTATAATGTGTTTTGGAAAGGAATGGCTCAATGGGTTGGTGGGCCGGTGGAGAAAAATGGCTCAATATGAGTTGAGAGCCGGTTGAGGAAAATTAATCAATATGGGTGGAGAAAAATGGCTCAATATGAGTTGGGGGCCGGTTGAGAAAAAGTTGTCAATATGCTGTAGGGAGTGTGGTTACGGTCTAGAAGTAGAGGACTGAGTTAAAAAAGGCAGTGAATGACCCAGAATTTTTTTTTTCAAGGTCATTGAGAAATCGGCGGATTCCTTGGCTCCCGAAGGAGATAACATTTTTTTTTATTAAATTATAGTATATTATTCCTTATTGTATAATATTATATTAAATCAAATGGTAGGGGAAGAAATTGATAACATTTTTTTTTAAATATAATAAATAAATTGTGTATTATAATCAAATTATAAGGAAAAATTGGTAACATTTTCCTCATAATTATTTAATTGTTTATTAATATATTCCTCCTTAAAATATTTTGTAATCTCTTAGGAGAAATATGATGTGTAAGAGTACCTCTTATCCTGAAAGTCTTAGACTACTTAGCGAATTCGATTCTTAATTTTGCAAAATAGTGTACTCTTATAGTCAAAATTTATATTTTATTTTATAAATGAATATTATTTATATTTTATTGCAGACTTCATGTTTGTAGAAACATTATAAAACTAAGAACTAAATAAAACAAAAATTATTTTTTTTTGGTAAGTTTAAGGAGTGTATAGGTCATTTTTGTAGTTTTGGTCAAACTTGGTAAGAGTGTAAAAAAAAATAAAATAATAATAAGATATATAAAATGGTTTAAAGTAAGCTTAATTAATGTATAAATGGAAGATTAACTTTTTTATTTGGGTTGTAAAATTTGAATAAGAATGAGAATAAAAACGGGATCAGATTGCATTTTTGTTTTGTTTTTTTTTTAAAAAGGGGAAAATATAAATTGGATCAGATTTTATTTTGAAAATATAAATTTGTATTAAAGTTGTTCTGGTAAAGAAAATTTGTTTTTAAATGTGATTTATGTTTAACGAAAGGGAGCAAGATTAAGGTTAAGAGAATGTTAGTAATATTAAGAAAGTTTTAATAAAATAAAACGAGAAATTGATTTATTTGTAAAGGATGGTTGTTGAAGGGAATGGAAAATGTTTGGTTTGAATTAAAATTCATTAAACTTTGTGTTGAATTAAAAATCAGTTTGGTTTTTGAATTAAGATTATAAATAGTATTCGATAACATATTGGAGTTATTATTGAGAGATTCAAATAAAATGCCTATAGATAATCGGTAAGTATCTATTATTTTAGATTTTTTATTTTTGTATTAAAGGGTTAAGTCTGTTATTTTTTTTCCCCGTAGTTTTTGGAATTGAGGAAATAAAATTTTAGGTATTTTTTTTTAGTAAAGGGTTAAATGTCTATTATTTCTTTTTCCATAATTTCCTGAAGGAAATGAAATTGAGGTAAGGTTTAATCAAAGGTTTTTTAAAAAAAATATATATATTTTTAGATAATGATCATATTGTAGGAAATTATAATTCCAAAAAATATATATATTAATGGTGGTGAGGTTAAATACGGTATAGGGTAGTAGGGGTAATAAAATTTATATATGAACCTATTATTGTCGTATCAGTTACATAGACTTAGGGTCGCATATGCTTCGAACGACTATAATTAGCAACGACATGTAGCCATTGGTGAGTGAGTGGAGAATGAGGTCCAAAGATCAGGATCCAGGAACTTCTCCGACTCGGAGTACGAAACCCCGACTAGTGACACAGACGAGGTGGGAGGTGAACAGAGGACCCTGTTTTCGATGCGGAGTGGAGGGGCATATGCGGCGGGACTGCCCTCAAGGAAATTGCCAAGGAGACAAGAAATGTATGTAAAATTGGGAAGGTCCCAGCCCCGAAAAATGGAACCACAAGGAGGACCGGATATATTGAGAGTAACCCCGCCGCCCCGGCCGATGATGGCGACAAGGCCGATGCCGCCGTCACGGCCGGTGCCACCAAGTAGATCGGGAACCTTCGAATAGCCCTCCATGTCATCGCAGAGGCAGCCTGTGGTGTGGGAAGCATCCGGAAGGCAGGCAGTAACGGAGGAGGAATTTCTGGAGGTCGGGTGAGGACGAGGGAGTTAGACGAGTTGTTTGGAGACTACAGACCCTTACCCCCCCCCCCCCAATAAGGAACTTTGGAGTGGGGAAGGGTGGAGGTGTCATAATATTATTTTTGTTGTTTATTTTTTGTCGTGAAATTATTTTATATTTTTGTTGGCGCGGATTAATATTATAATATACGCGGAATTATTTGTTTTAAGAAAGAGAAGACTCATGGTGAGTCGAGGATATTTTTTTTTGTTGAAAAATATAATTTGTATTTTATATTTTTTTATTATTTTAATTTTTGAATAATTTTTAATTTTTAATTTTTTTGAAATTGTAATTGTAATTTTTGATTTTTATAATTTTGTTAAAAATATAACTTTTGTTTAAGAAATCTATAAATAGACTAATTAAAGTTTCGGTGTCAATTTGTTTAAAGAAAAATAAAAGTGAAATAAATTTATTCCTGAAAAGGACAGTTCAATTTGTTAGGAAGGTCATTAAGAAACGGCACAGCGTCAAAATAAATATATAAATAAAAATTTTATTTAATTCAATGTTTGTAAAATTTTTTATTTTATTACCATTGTTTCGTCTGCTTTAAACATTAGTATATTTGTATTCAAATATAAATACCATGGCATGACTTTATCTGACAAATGTAAGAGAATTTATATATGTCACATATGACCTGCCATATCATTATCTATTAAACAGGAATTATTTTTCATGAGTCTTTTTCTAACCTTATTGCTTATTTTAAATTTACAAAAAATATTATCTCAGACTTATAATATAGGTGAAAAAACCAAAAGTAACAAAAGTATTTCAGAATACAACGATCTAGATTTTGAAAAACTCTCTGATGAATGGGAGGTAATACATTTTATCATATTTAAACATGTCACATAAGGAGAACGATGAAGATAAAATACCTTTAAATGAACAACCTATGTACAAGCAACCTCCGATCCCAATTAATATGAATAATTTAAATATGAGTGATCCTCAAAGTGTTCTTAAGCAATCTAAAAAAGGAAAAACTGTGATGATGTTTGTAACTGTTTCAGGTTTCTATTTATATTTATATTATTTATTAAATGGTAATATATAGGAAATCCTACTAAAAATGAAGCAGATAAGATAACTAGTATCTGGCATTCAAGTTTATATAATGCCCATTATGATGTATCCAAGTTATGCTCATAATGATAAATAATTACAAATAAATTTATTATATTAATTTTTTAAAATAAATTTCTTATTCAAGATTATGATATTTGTATATAATTTAAAATATTTTAAAGTTATCATTTTTATTTTCTTTATTTACAAGATATATGATTGAAAATGATAGAGCCATCTTTGTTTTTAATAATGGTGAACAAGCATGGGATGGAAAAGAATTTTTGATTAAACAAGATCGTTGTGATTCTGTTACATTAGAAAATGAAAATTATTATGGAAAGGGCTCTAAAGTTTGTTTTTAGCTAAAATATTTTTTATTATCTCATTAATAATTATAGAAATATGCTACACAATTGGATCAAAATTTTAAAGAAAAGAAGGAACTATGAAATGATTATTGCTCATATAAAAAAAATTATCAAATAAAATACACAAATACTAATAAATAATTATTCAAAATCTTTGATAACTAATTTAGGAAATAAATATAAATATTTATAAAAATAGCATTTATCTTGCTCTTCAATTCACATAAATTTAGAACAAGAATTAACCTTTTAAAATTCTTATTTTTATTACATAATGTTTAAGACTTTACAATTTATTATATTCTCATCTAAGTAGTAGTAGTGTAAAGTAAGGTCAATTAAAATAACATTGTTGCTAAAGACATTACCTTTTTGAGGAAAAGAAATGTCATTCATTAATGTTATTTGTTTCAAAAGGTAATGATTAATGTTTTTCTTATTTTTTATGTAATGGTAATACAAATGTTGCTTTAATTTTTTTTTTTAAATATAGAAAATTATATATTTTTTAAATTTTATAAATTATTTTAAGTCAATCCAAATCAACTATCAAAGTTTTTTAATTATTTTTTTACATTTTTGTTGTTAAATATTATAGTCAAGATTGTTAATCTAATTAATATTGAATCTATCATTGTATGTTAATTTACAGAGTTGTTAAAAGATACTTTTTAAATGGATACAGATACATAGTCAAAAGGTTATCCAGATACAGATACATTGTCTAAAAAGTTATCCAGATACAGATACATTGTCTAAAAAGTTATCTTGATACAGATACAATTTTAAAATGTATCTAGATACAGATACAATTTTTAAATACTCTTAATTGCATAAACCTAAATTAGGATTCTATTGTAAGTATTGTCACAACAACAAGTTTGTCATTGTGCATCAAAACCTAAATATAAAAATAGAAAACAAATATATATATAAAAAGGAAATTAATAATAATTAGGAATCACGAAATCATAAAATCAACTTTAAGTCTTTATTCAAAATTATAATAGTAAAAATCATAAAAAATAAAATAAAATATAATTAAAAAAATTAATAATTTTAAAAAAATCAAAGTCCTTTGTATCGTAAAAATTTGCCTTTTTATACTCTTTTCAATCTTCTTATAACTAATCATAACTATTCAAATATAATCTTTTTATCACGCGTTATAACAATAAATCCACAAGAATTCTTTATGCAAATTACATATAAAGTACAACAAAATCCAAAAGAAATCTTTATGCAAATTAATTCTAACATTTACAACAAGTATGAAATGAGATAAAAACTTTATTGACTAGATATCACATTTATCAAAATTAAAATAATGATTTTTAGATTTAAATATAATAATACAGTGGCGTAGCTACGGGGGTGGTTTTCGGGTTTGGACCCCTCCCAGAGCAAATATTTTTTTTAGATTATACGTTCAAAAGACTTAAAAGTTACTTTATATCAAATAAATACCATGAATATTTATATTTTTGATGTTCGTGGAATGATAATTTGAGATAATCTACGAAATTATAATAATATATTATTGATGCATAAACTATATTTATTATATAATATCGAAGATATTGTTATGATTTTTAAAATAAACCCGGCCAAAGGCCGGGCAAAAAGGCCGAAGGCCCGTTAAAGGGGGTCTGGGGGGCTTCGCCCCCCAGTCTTATATATGTATGGACTCCCTCTAAGGAAAATTCCTAGCCACGCCACTGTAATAATATAATATATAAAAATATATGATTAAATGATTATAAATAATTATTAGATTTCAATAATAAAATATTTTCAAAATTTTGGTCATTAAGGCATCCTCGTTAATCCGTAAATATATTTTTAGCTATACTAAAAAGCCTTTCTACCGGGGCACTTGAAGGGATTGGGGTGTTATATTTTATGAATAACAATTTTATATCAGGATATTCTTTTAAAATATAAAATCTGGGCATTCATTTTCGAAAAAATTATTTAAAATTTGTTGAGTATCAAAATTTAAATCATTATTAACAATCATATCTGCTGATGAGGGATACTGAAAAAAATTATATATTAAATTAATTGTTTTTTTCCGCAGGTTATTTGTTATCAGTTGAAGATCTTGATAATTCATCAACTAATCTTTGTATTAATTGTTTTTTTCATTAACAGTGTTTGATTTTTTCTCTTAATTGAAAATTACAATTTTAAACATTTTATTTAGTATCTATACCCTTAAATGTTTTACAATGTTGCAAGTTGAGGTAATGCTAACTGAAATTTTCGTATTTTTTATAGATATGTCAAACATTTTACTATCAGAGATTTGTTTTTTTTATTTTAATATGCCCTATAAATTGGCCATTAAAACAATGTCTGAACTTGTTGATGCTTCATTGATTATTACTTCTTCCTTCCTCTTCATCACTATTAATATTAATCTAAAATAAATTTTTAAAATTAGTATAATAAAATAAAATTAACTAATTCCATTGAAAATTAAAATGGCAGATTTCTTGAGTTTCATTGTAATATCAAAATTTGTCTGGTTTATTGATAAACTCTGACATAATATTTAATGAATATCTATATTTGTGATCTGCATTGGACCTAATTTTCCGAAATTTTTTTTAAAAAAGTTTTGCCGGCCCGAACCCGTAATTTTTTTAAAAAGTTTTGCCGGCCCGAACCCGTAATTTTTTTAAAAAGTTTTGCCGGCATGGCCCGAACCTGAAATTTATTTTAAAAAAATTTACCAGTCCAGCCAGGCCCGAATTTATTTAAATATAGAAATTAATTTTTATAATTACTTAAAATAAAAGACATATGTTATATAGCGTTTAGTTTCAATAAATTAAATCAAAAAATTTTATTTTACATAAAAATATTCAATATAAAATTGATGAATTTAGATATATTTAATAAAATTTCCAAGGTCCGACCCGACCCGGCCCGAATTTTTTTTTTAAATATTAGGACCGGCCCGGTCCTAACCCGATTATTTTAAATAAATATTTTTTAAAAATTATATGCTCATATGAAATAAAATAAATTTTGCATTCAAGTATTTTTGTTCATAATATAAAAAACGTTATATAAAAGTATATCAAAATGTATCTTAAAAAGTATCTAAAAACAGATACAGATACGTCTAAAATAATATATAGATACAGATATTTTAATCGAAAATCTATTTAGATACATATACCACATTTTTATATCTAGATACAGGATCTATCTAGATACTTTAACAACTCTGTTAATTTATATTCTTTAATTTTATAAAGAATATATATCAACAGAGCTTATTTTTTCAGATGATTGTTCAAAGCTAGATTAAAAAAAGAATCATTAAAAATATCTAAGAAAGTTTGAAGTAATATCAGGAAATATTGGATTGGTGAAAAATTTATGAATGGTTCTAAACCCTGCAGAGTTTCAGTCAATTTTTAAAAATGGCTAACTTAATATTTTACCAGAAATATATTGTATAAGCCTCGAGATTTTGCTAATAAATGTCCTAACCTTTGTGTCATCTTTTTCAGGCTTGCGTAATATTTTTCTGGATAAAATTAACAGCACTATCTGCGCAACCCTATTAAGTTGTTATTTATTTCTGAAATTCTATCTTGTTTTTGTTAAATTCATATATTAAAAGAGCAGAGACCTACATGCCCAGGGTTGTGTTTCCTAGGTCTGGCATGAATGTGGCACTAAATATCCCTGGCCAAGTGGGATCATATTTGATTAAAAAAAATTACCTTCAATATTTTTTTGATCTCCATAGCACAGTAAATTATTAGGGGTTTTTGACCTTGAAAAGTCTGATTTTAATCAAATATATAGATATGTCTAGTTATACCTATTCTATAAATTTGAGACAATTCATCATGAGCTTTTTGTCATATCTAATTTATGCAAAGGCGCGTACGCAGCAGGGAGAGGGTAGGGGGCAACCCCCCCCCCCCCCCAATGCCAAAAATAAAGATGCCGGATTATATTTTCAAAAATATTATTGTTTATATTAATTTATATTTGTTAATATTTATTCCTATCTCATATATATATATTTAATTACATTTATTTATCACATTCATCTACTAAGTTATTTTATCAATTAATTTCGATTTTAAGTTTTCCTTGACGTAATATTTACCTATTATTTTCAAATTTCTAGTAGCGTAATATTTATCTAAATTTCTAATCTCTGAAACTCCTTGTCCAGGGAGAAAGAAATTGCAAACTGGTCCAAAGAGATCGAGTCTCCGCCATCAAGCATTAACAGCTTTTATGGAATTAGAAGAGCCGATTATTAATGCTTTTACTGAAATATCATAATGGCTTGAAAGAAATATTTCCTCAGAAGCAAGAAAATTATTGGATTCAATACTTATTCCAAATTTTTTTTCTCATTAGAATGTATTATTTAATTATGCAACTATTTTATGTAATACTTTTCAAAAACATGACATGACTTGATTTTTAAGATGAGAATAGCGGAGAAAATTTTATTAGAACTCAAGGAAATTAGAGCTAATGTTGATGAAGAATTTCATATTATATATGTTATTGTTGAGTCAAAAGCAGAGCTATAAGTGTTTAATATTTGTCTCCCTCGACTTGGAGCAAGGCAAGCTCATCGTCAAAACATTAATATAGGATCAGTAATAAAACAAATGTCCCCTCTCTTAAATGTATTTATAACCCAAATAAATAAATGATTTTTAATTCATCATGCAGTACCAATCTGCAGATATTACTTCCACAAAAGCCTTTCCAACCTTTTTCAGATATGCAAGAAAAAAAATGAATATTTGTTAGATTTTTATCATGAAGATGTTAAAGTATCTTATGATACCTTATTAACTGAATAACTATGAATAAAAGATATGGTTGATATAGTACTAAAAAATGCCATGGATGCTTTGCGTTATTTCAAACACATTTTAGATTATACTCCCAATGTATTGGTTATATATATATTAGCAACTCTTCCCATTTGTAAACTAATGAGAGAACATTCTCTTTTTTAAGAAGAATAACAGAGTCCTGCAGAGGTATCATTTGCAGGATACGGCTCGGATTTTTTTTCAAAATTTTTTTCGGCCTGGCCATGGTATTTTTTAAAAAAATAAATTTTCAGGCCCGGCCCGATTTTTTAAAAAATAAATTATATTTATTTTTTACCTTTATAGCTAATAATGGCGATTTCAAATATTTGGTTTTAAAATATACAGCCCGGCCCGGATATTTTTTT